AAACCGTTCCGTGACTCTCTGATGTCCATCAGAGGAGTAACAATAGCATTTTATTAGTGGTTTATTTTCTCAGAGGACACGGGTCTGTGCAGGGGGACGTTGTGCTGTTCCCCACAGCTACAACGGGAGTCATGGGGGGAGGAAAGAGCATCGCTTTATTTATCCCCTGTAATTCCCTTTCCTGGTAAGAGAATGAACTTCCCAATCACAGTCTGTGGGGAAGGTCACGCCGGTCACCTGCAGGAGCTCGCCTCCAGTGTCTGTGTTAGCCTGAAGACAAGCAAAGCCGGGCCTGTTGGAGGTTCTCTGTGTCACTTCCCACCTTGTGTTTGCCTTCCAGACCCACTTACCCAACATCAAAGTCCATGCCTACTTCGCTCCTGTGACTCCACCTCCCTCGGTGGGAGGCAGCAGACAACGCTTCTGCAGATGCTGCATCATCCTATGACACTGGCCGTGCTCCTCCAGCAAACTGAGTATTTAAATACCCTTGTAGAACCACGGGGGACACCAGGATCTCCGAGGGAAGTGATACCAGTGTCATTTGCAAGGGGCAGTGAGCAGGGCTGTGGCGCCAGGCCCCTGTAGCCACCCATACCCATACATATACACCCCCCGTGCTCCAGCGAGCCGGTGAACTCTGCGGTGTGGGAGCTGGAGCTCTCTTGGCTTTTTCTCTAGGTGGATTGGTATAATTCCGAACCATTCCCGCTGGGCATGCTCAGGTGGAATCACTGCGGTAAGGAGGGGAGCTTGCTGTGAACCCACAACGCCTGTCGCTGCTGTTGAGGTTGGAAGAGTAACCGAAATCCGTGGACATGGGGAGAGGGGGAGAGGAAAGGAACATGCTTTAACCCTGCGTCTGTTGTCCAGAGGGGAAACAAAGAAAACAAACCTGAAACCCCCAAGTTCTTGTGTCCGTTTTTCAGTGAGGGAACGACCCGGCAGCTGGTGGGAGACAGGATTGACTCGTGCTTCCCTGCTGAGCACCCTGAGCATGCTCACGGCGAAGGTTCAGCTCGCTCTTCTGTGTTCTGTAGCGTCCCGCTCAGAGGCTTCCTTAGATCATTGTGATATAGCTTGAAATCTGTCACGTCGGGCTCGGGGGGGTTTTACCCTCCCTGCGTCCTGCTTGGGTTTTATTTTACACCTTTCGAATTCACTCAGTTTGGAGATTTACCAGACAGAAAGTCACCGATCGGTCGTTTCAAGTCAGATGAGGACTGAGCCTGTAGTAACCTCTCAGGAGGATGTTTGAATGGCAAGTGAGCTGCACTGCAGGCTCCTGGAGGCTCCTCGGCCTCCTCTTACCAGTGGTGGGGTGTCCAAATCTGTTCTGCGTTTCAGGTGTTCTCCCAGTGACAAGAATCTCGCTCTCGATACAGGGGAGCAAGTTACAATCTCTGTTGCAGTGACTGTAACCCCCAACTTCCTCCTGCTTCCCTCCAGCCCTTCACCCCCGAGGAAAAGCAAAGTAGAATCTTTTTGCTTGTTGCCCTGATCAAGAAATAACCAACTGTGGGAGGAACAGCCTGAAAACACCCCTCGAGTCGTGTCACCCTCTTTGTGAGTGCTGGGGAGGGGGGGGGAGGGTGCTGCTTGTGCCTCTTCCACAGGTAAGTGCCGTGGATGGAAGGAGGGTTTGCTCCGTGCCAGCCCTTCCCAGCTCCCACGGGATGTGTTTGCAGCAGGATGAGCCCGGATGCTCCCAGTGTGAAACGTGAACGGCCGGGCAGGGGTTTAGTGGGTTTAATGGGTAGAGCCCAGTCAGCCTCTAACAGGTTTGGGAAGTGCTCGTGCTCCTCCTGCTGTGCCCGCCCGGGCTGGAGGGGACACGAGGTCGTGGAGGTCTGGCTCTGAGTGGGGGCTGTTGAGCCATCCCGGCCCTGGAAGCGGTGCTTCCCCTTCCTTCCATGGGGTGCGGCACAAGGAACGACTGTTCCGGGGCTCCGTGTTTCACTGGGGGGTTGCTTTGTGCTGCTTCCCACCCTCTTCCCACCATTCCAAGCGATTGGGGCAGGCAGAAGGGTCACTTATTCCCACCAAAGCCGTATCCCCTTCATCTCCAGCTCCCCCTTTTCCTCCCCCAGCAGCGTTCGCTTCCCAGGGTGCCGCCTCCGCAGGGGTCAGTCCTGCCCCTGGAGATGGCTTTTAATCCCTCCTATTTATTCAGCTCCTTGGAGCCCTGCGGGTTCCCTCCTTCCTCCACGAGCATGTTCCTCATCCTCCCTTCGCACAGCTCCCTTCTCCTGAGCTTTCAGGGTGGCCGAAGCCAAGCGGCGCTTCCCGTGGTACCGGGGCAGCAGCAGCACTCGCTGTCCTCGTGCAGTCGGACAGGGCAGAGCTGACAGGGATTTCCAAGCCGGAGCCGATGGATTTTCCTTGTGGCAGAGCCCAGGTTTCAAGGGGGAAACTCCAAGACTACAGAACCCAAAGCGTTTGTCGTTGTTGTTTTCCAGACAGGGTGACAGCATTAAGGTAGCTCAAAAACTACTTGACAGTGTCCTTCCAAGTCACTTAATCCGTCTCCAAATGGACTCTTCCTTTATGTTTGTATTTATAAATACCAATAAACACCATTTTCCAAGCTCTGTCTCGCTACAGGAGGAGCTCTCTAGAGGAAAACCCACCCTGGTGCATGTGGCATCATTCCAGGCTGGGCCCTGGGAAGGTGGGTTTGGCTCCATGTGCCCTGGGCTTGGTTTGGGGGCCACAGAGGGCATCGAGCACGGAGGGTTGGTGCTTGAGGTGGGGCGAGGAGCTGATGGGTCCTGGATCAGAACCTGAGCAGGGCAGGATGCGGTGGGAGATCCAGGGCTCCTCCCTGGACACCCAGCCCGTGCCACACGGTCCATGGAGCACAGGGAGCAGGGACCTCTCCAGGGCAGCAGCTGAGCCCTTCTGGGCCCGATTCAACCCCAAATGAGGCTTTTCAGGTGGTGCAGAGCCCACTTCTGTGGCTGCTCCCGCAGGGACGGGGCTGCCGCAGGGATCAGTTAAACCAGAAACGAACAAATCCCTGTTCCTGGAGCACCACTGGGGTTTTCATTCCCTCTGGATGTGGCATCGAGATGGGTTTTGGGTTGGATTTTGCTTTTTGGGGGGGGATGGACCCCAAAAATGAGGTTTAAAACCACTCTTCTGAGGACGGAGTCTGTGTTTGGGGCTGGAGGGGTTGGGTGGTGGGATGGGGCTGTGCCCAGATGGCCCCATCACTGGTGTGATGAGGTGGGAAGGTCTCGGCTCATTTCCGGGTGGGGGGGACACCCCTCAACCTGCCTATGGAAGCTCTGGAGGGGGCTGGGCCCTGGCAGCACCCACAGGGCTGAGGAGCTGCTTGGGGGTCCTTGGAGTGAGCTCAGCCCCAGCTCCCACATACAGACCCCTGCTCCTTCCCTGACCAGCACCAAGCTGGGGAGCAGCAGCTCCTCCCTCCCCGTTCCACACACCTGGAGAGAAAGAGGGAGACTCGGGGGGAGCACTGGGAGCTTTATTGGATGCCCATGGATGGAGGGTCCTGCGTACACAAGAGAGGCAGCGCTCACTTCTTGGTCTCCTCCTCCTTGGAGAGGGTCTTGATGATCTCCTCCTTCTTGGCCTGCAGCCGCTCCTCGCGCCGCTTCCGAGCCTCCTTGGTCTTGGACCTACGAGCTTCAGCCTGGTCCCTGCGAGAGGGGAAGAGCTGCTCAGCGTGGGGAGCACCCCGAGCTCTCAGCCTGGCCCCATCTCCTCCTGCTCCACCAACACTGAAGCAAGCGCAGCTCCAGCACCACGATGGTTTGGGTTGGAAAGGACCTTAAAGCTCCTCCAGCTCCAACCCCTGCCCCGGGCAGGGACACCTTCCACTAGAGCAGGTTGCTCCAAGCCCCTGTGTCCAACCTGGCCTTGAACACTGCCAGGGATGGGGCAGCCACAGCTCCTCTGGGCACCCTGTGCCAGCGCCTCAGCACCCTCACAGGGAAGAGCTGCTGCCCCAGAGCTCAGCCCTGCCCAGTGCTGGGTCCATTCCCCACCCGGCAGCACTTACGCCAGGAGCTTCTTGCGAGCTTTGTCTGCCTTGAGCTTGTGGATGTGCTCCATGAGGATCCGCTTGTTCTTGAACACGTTGCCCTTGACCTTCAGGTACAGGCTGTGATACCTGATGGAGCGGAACGGAAGGGACTCGGTGAGGCAGCGCCAGCCCCCCCCAACCCCTCCTTCCCGCTGGGATCCTCCTGGAGCAGCTCCTCCACGGGGAGGGCTCTGGCTCACATGTGCCGGTCGATCTTCTTGGACTCCCTGTATCTGCGGAGGAGGCGCCTCAGGATCCGCATCCTCCGCATCCAGGTCACCTTCTCGGGCATGCGAGCGTTG